TGAGCACCAAGCAACAACCCTAGGTTCTCCCCTGAGAACCAGGCCAAAAATTTTATGTTCAACCCTGAGTATAACCTCTTTTAAATTACAAACACCTTTATATTGTCATTATTTTTGTTATTTTAAACGCAACTGTTAATTTTTTTACTTTGTGACAACATTACTGTTAGCTCTCAATAAAACTTGTTGAAAAAGTGCTTCTCTGTGCAAATTGGGTTTAAAACATGAAAAATTTACTGAAGAGTTAAAAAGGTATTTTCAGCAGAAATGAAACCTTTAATCACCACTTCTTTGTGTTTTATGTGTGAGCTCGGTCAAAAACCTGTCAATTGGGCTAGCGTTCTTTCATTCTCTTCTGGGGCCACCACTRCACCCCCCTAGAGGTGTGCCCCCCACTTTGGGAACTTCTGGGCTAAAGTAATGTTTTCTCAGTGGGAAAGTGTGATTCTACTGATGAGGACTGATTTACGTGTGTTTGTGTGTGCAGGTTTGAGCTGATGCGRATGTGYTGGCAGTACAATCCTAAGATGCGTCCAGCCTTCGTGGAGATCATCAGCAGCATCAAGGACGACCTGGAGCCGTCTTTCAGCGAGGTCAGTTTTTACTACAGTGCTGACAACAAGCCCGCCGACACGTCGCAGCCGCACACGGACAAGCTGGATCACGCGCCGGACTTTCCCCTGGACCCCGCTTCCTCCTCGCAGCAGACCCCCCAGCCGACGCCGCACTCTCCCGGCTCGGAGCCCCCACCGTCCCCGTCGCAAGCCCCCAGCTCCCCGTCCTCCCCCTGCACGTCGAGCGCCGTCACGGACAAGCAGCCCTCAGGCCAGCAGGCGGCCAACGGGCTCTCGGGGACGGTTCCGCCCGCGGCCTCGGGGCTCGGCGCCGGCCCGGGCGTCACGATCCGGCCGTCCCCGGACGAACTACCGCCGTACGCGCACATGAAYGGAGGACGGAAGAACGAGCGCGCCATGCCTCTTCCTCAGTCGTCAGCCTGCTGATAAGACCGACCAGACTGCGAAGCGTCCGCCTACTGCCGAGAAAAATCAGATGTCCCAGTGGGTTTCTTTCCTTTTTTTTTTTAAATCTCCACAAGGTAGATGTGGTTACTCAAAGATCTGAGTGAATGTGGAGAAAACTGTCAAAAGTTCTGCTATATTGCCACACACACTATCCCAGCCTATCCTAGGTTCAGTTTCTACCAGCTGGTTGTCAGATGTGACACTGCCTCTGCTGCTGAGTGGAAAGACCAAAAACGAAATGAAAATTAAAAAAAAAAAACATACTATAAATAAATTAAGAAAAAGAAACAGATAAAAATACTTTGAGGGAGCTACTTTCCTCACTTTACGGCTGAAATTGTTTTATAAATAGTTTTTTGTTACTTTTTTATGTGTTTCCAAGRGGAAACTAACTGTACAGGCCTTTTTAAGTGGTTGGCGTTTTTTGTTGTGCTTTTGGACGGGCATTATGGTGAAAAAATATTAAGCATATCTAATGATGAAGAAGGAGGAGGAGGAGCAATTCAGAGGGGTCTGGTCGGTCTTTCCTCGTGACAACCTGATGCCAGTTCAACAGCCAGACCAATGGAAACTAAACAGAGGGAGAAAAGTCAGCTCTGCCAAATTTGTTGCCAAAATGTTTTTTTTTTTTTTT